AATTGATGTAAATTTACAAACACATATAATCGTATAATTAGTATTCAAAATCATATCAAGCCCATAATTATAAGTATAATTAAGATTAATTAGCATAATCCAGAGTTGGGTTGTCACACAATGTTTAGTAATTACTCCTAAGCATAGGAAAAAACAAAACAACACACCAACAAAAGGAATAACATGAGGGTTCTCCAACTAAACAAAAATTTCTCACATGTCAACCAAAGAGAAAATAATTCTTAATTGATTTTGAATGTCATGACACAACCAAATGATAGCTAAAAAATCTGTGAAAAGTTGCAACTTAAATTTTTTTTGCAAATGAATCCAAACAATAGCTAAAAAATCTATCAAAAGCTACAACTTAAATTTTTTCAAATGAATCCAAATGATATGTGCCAGACTCAAAATTACGGTTTCAACTTCTAACCTGAAGAATTCCTCTATGTCATTTTCTGGATCAAAATAGCGTCATGTGTTCTACATGCCTTGCCTGCACCATAAAATCAATGAAAATACAAAAATATTATGCGTTAGTTATTCATGTCTTCAATTATGTAGTTGGGTTAGTCTACAGATACGGAAAAACTTTACGAAGACATAGTTAAGCTTTTCATGGAGTATTTGTAGATCAAAGATATAATACAAAACCATTAATGTCATGAGTATAAAATATAGCCACAAATTTATTTATTTTTTTGTGTAAAAATCGGTTTGGGGATGAGAATGTGAAAGTACTTATCAATTTAGGATTGGAAAAATCAAGGTTAAGCGATGTGCTAATGGTTTAAAAATAAATAAATTTTAGAGATGGTGGGCGTTTACTTTGTAGAAAAAAAAAAAACATAAGCCATAACTTTCAAGGGTTTTTTTTTATATAAATATTTCCCCAATGTAATCAAAGTATAATCTAAAATTTTGTGAAAAACATATTATATTCAAAACTCTCTATAGGAAGGAATGATTATCATTTTTCGCACAAATGACTTTCTCTTTCAGGTTTAGAGAACTAAAAGAGAGAAAGCAAAGCTTGTGCATTTCTTTAACATTTCTACTGTGAATTATTGTAGTTTATATTATTCATTAAGGATAATTTAGTCCTTTAGGTTGTTAGGGTTTTATTCTATTAGCTTATATATTTGTAGTCATTTGATTGATCTAAATACAAGAATCAAGTTTTCTTCTCTGTTATCATGGTATTAGAGCAAGGTTCCAGACACTAGAATACCTTTCGCAGGTCATCATCGACCATCGCAACCCCTTTCTCTCTCTTCGCTAGGGTTCTCTGTTCTCTTTGTCGCGTCGCACTTTGAAGCACTACGCTCTTCCTGGTCACTAGTTCTGGTCTCTAGGTTGTGTCAGAGACCTAGGTTACGTGTCTCACACAATCGAATGCTACCTCTGGTCCGATTGATTCCTATGTGACTTTGATTGGTGATTTCTCCGTCTCTCCCTCTAGTTCACACGATCCAAATAAGGTCTGACCTTGATGCTCGATCTCGTTCCAGACCCTGAAACTGACTTCAACTTCTAGTTTTAGGTTTAGTTTCTCTCTCTCTCTCTCTCTCTCTCTCTCCCTCTCTCTTTCTCTCTCTTCTTTGCCCTGGTTCTCTCTCTGATTGATATTTGAGGGTGATTGGGTCACAACTCTGGTTATTATAAATTTGACCTAACTGGTTCTTTAATTATAGCAATAGCAACTCTGGTTATCTAATAGTCACTCTGCTTTGATTTTACTATGTTGCTTAATTATAGCACTGTGGCTGATGATAAATTGTAAGCTATCACCACTAAGTTAGATGGTACCAATTACTCTTATTGGTCTCATGTAATGAAAAATTTTATAATGGGTAAAGGCATGTGGAACTATGCTATTGGTATGACTATTAGACCTACGAAATCCCAAGAAACCAAGGCCGATGTTGCTAAATGGGATAAGGAAAACACGCAAATTCTTACTTGGTTTCATAATTCAGCTCAAACTATCATTGGTATGAATTTTTCCAAGTATTCTACTTCTAAACTAGTTTGGTACTATTTGAAAATAATGTACTTTGAGTCTAACTTTGCAAAATAGTATGAACTTGAGATGTCTATTCACAGTGCTAGTCAAAAAAATAAGTCCATTTGAGAGTTCTACAATGAGATGAGAGCAGCCTGCTTTGATGGAACCATCAGATTTGTAGTTACTTGACAGTTATACCAAGTATCAGGAGAAACAACGTCTTGTTCAATTTCTTATGGCCATTTGTGATCAATTTGAGCCACTTCAGGGAGCTATTCTTCATCAGTCTCCCTTCCCTTCAGTGGATGGTGTTGTCTGTGAGCTTATTGCGAAAGAAACTCAGTTTAAGGTGGCTCATAGTGCTCTTGCTTCCTAGTCAGTTTATGCCACTCCTCCGCTCTTGCCCACCCCACTTTCTCATTTATTTCAGGTTACTGGTAAGCCCAAGCCTTAGGTTTCCATGGATGAGTGTAGCTTTTGTCATCAGAAAGGCCATTGGAAACATGTTTGTCCTAAACCTTTGCAGCCTAAGGGTCGTTCATCTGGTCCACCATCCTCTAAGCCGACATCTTCGGGATCTCGCTCTTTTGCGGCCTTTTCTGTTCCAGTTTCTGAGAATGGTTCATCTTCCAATATGCAGTCTATGTTTAAGCAATTCAAGTCTTTCATGGTGGCCAATCCAAATCTTTCGTCCCAAGCCTCTGCTATGACTACCACTCAGTTAGGTTTGTCTAGTTCATCCTCTTCAGGTAATATCCACACTTTGTGGATTTTTTATTCTGGTTGTCCACATCATATGACCCCTGTTGCATCTCTCCTCAGTAATTGTGTCTCTCCTTCTTCTTCTATCACTATTGCTACTGCTAATGGTTCTTCTATGCCTGTACACTCTATTAGTTCTATTTTCTCTTCCCATTTGTCTCTTTCTCCTGTATTTTATGTGCCTCGCATCTCACTCAGTCTTATTTCTATTAGTCAATTATTTGATTCCGATTTTGATGTTGTTTTCTCTTCTTCTCATTGTGTTGTGTAGGATCGGGTATCCAAGAGGCAGATTAGGATTGCACGTAGAGTTGGAGAACTATATATCTTGGATAGCTTGCACGTTCCTCCACAAGTGTCTTCTACTACATTGTCTTCTTTTTGTTTAAACAATAAGTCTTATTTATTTTATATTTAGCATTCTAGGTTAGGTCATCTGTCGAGTGATCGTTTGAGGATGTTAGTTTGGTCTGGACATTTAGGCAATTTTTCCATTAATGATATTTCGGAGTGTCGTGGTTGTAAACTGGCTAAAATGTTTGTTTTCCCTTTTAATAAAAGTAGTTTTATTTCATCTTCTCCTTTTCAATTGGTTCATACTAATGTTTAGCGTCCGTCCCTTATAGTTACCAAGGGTGGTTCGCAATATTATGTGTCTTTTGTGGATGATTACAGTCGGTTTACCTAGGTTTATTTGATGACTCGAAAATCTGATTTTTACAAAATACATTCTAATTTTCACTCCATGATTCGCACTCAGTTTTCCACCACCATTAAAGTTCTTCGTTCTGATTTAGGGGGTAAGTATTACTTGTCTAAGTTTGAGGAGTTTTTAGCTACTCATGGCACTATTCATCAATCTTCGTGTTCTGACACTCTTACCCAAAATGGTAGAGCTCAGCGCATATCACTATCTCCATGATACAGCTTGCTCTTTGTTGCTCTCGTTTTTTGTCCCTTCTATTTTCTGGGGAGAAGTTGTGATCACTGTTGTATATTTTCCCAATTAGATGCCTACTCCTCTTCTCTCAGGCTCATCTCCGTATGAGCGTCTTTTTGGTGTTACTCCCAATTATTCTTTTTTTCGTATTTTCGGTTCTACATGCTTTGTGATGCTTCCTAAACAGGAACGCTCTAAGCTTAGTTCTCGTTGTGTCCTATGTGTCTTTTTAGGGTATGGTATTAATCAGAAAGGTTATTGGTGCTATGATCCTGCCACCAAAAAGCTATATGTGTCTAGGCATGTCACCTTTTTAGAAAAACTACCCTACTACACTATGCCTGCCACCTTTGCTCCTATTACCAATGATGAATTGGTTCACGTTGACCCATTTCCTCCTGATGTTTCTCCCGATGAGTTTGTTTCTGATCTTGAGGTCTCTACTTTGCCTCTTACTAGCACTTCTGATATCTCACCAGCTACGCCATCTCCAACTCCCACTTCCCCTACTTCTCTTCTTGTTTATCAGCGTTGCAAACACTTCTGAGCTCGCCTGTCTCTAGCTCTACTGTTCTTCCAACTATTTCTTTGGATTTCGTTCCTTCTGCACATCACTTTCCCAAGCGAGACCGTTATCCTCTAAACTGGTATGGTTTTGGTAATAAATGTTTTTCTCTTTCCTTTTAGTTTTTTCTTTCTTGTTTTCATGCTTATTTTGTGCCCAGGTCCTACAAGGAAGCTTGTCATGATCCCAATTGGATTTCTACCATGAATGATGAGTTAACTGCTTTGGCTAACACTTAGACTTGGGATTTGGTTCCACTACTTGCTGATAAGAATATTTTAGGCTGTAAATGGGTCTATAAAGTGAAAACCCTTTCTGGCGTTTGTTTGTACAAAGCTCGTTTGGTTGTCCAAGGCTTTTCTCAAGAGTATGGGATTGATTATGATGAGACTTTTGCCCCCGTTGCCAAGATGAGTACTGTTCGCACTCTTATCTCTGTTGATGTTGCCCATCACTGGCGTTTGTTTCGACTAGATGTCAAAAATGCTTTTCTGAATGGGCATCTTGCTGAAGAAGTGTATATGCGCCCTCCACTAGGTCTCTCTCACCCTACTAGTGTTGTTTGTCATCTTTGCTGTGCTTTATATGGTCTCAAGAAGTCTCTTCATGCTTAGTATGAACGATTTCACTATGTTGCACTTCAGTTTGGTTTTCAACATAGTCATCATGATTGTGCTCTCTTTGTTCGGCACACTTCTGTTAGCCTTGTTCTCCTTCTCTTATATATGTATGATATGATCATCATTGGCTCTGATTATAGTACTGTTGAGGAGGTTAAGTATCAGTTGTTTCAGGAGTTCGAGATGAAGGATTTGGGGTCTCTTCGGTATTTTCTTGGTATTGAGGTTGCTACTTCTCCTAGTGGGTATCTTCTCTCTCAGACTAAATATGCCCGTGATATTCTTTCTCGTGCCAATCTTACTGATGACAAAATTGTCGACACTCATTTTCAGTTGCATGCTAAGTTTTCTACTTTTGATGGCGTTCCTCTTGAGGATCTCACTTTGTATCGCGAGTTGGTTGGGTGCCTTGTTTATCTCACCGTTACTCATCCGGATATCTCCTATGCTGTGCACATTCTCAGTCAGTTTGTTTCTGCTCCTCGTTCCACACACTAGACTGCCTTACTCCATACTCTGCGCTACCTTCGTGGCACTTTGTTGCAATGTTTGCTGTTATTTGCCTCTTTGGACTTGAGTCTTCGTGCCTATGCTGATGCTGATTAGGCAGGTGACTTCTCTGATTGTAAATCCACTTCTGGTCTTTGTGTTTTCCTTGGTGATTCTCTCATATCTTGGAAAAGTAAGAAACAACTTGTTGTTGCTCGTTCCAACACTAAGGCTGAGTATCATGCCATGGCTCATGTTACTTCCAAGATCGTTTGGCTTTGGTGGCTTCTCTCTAATATGGGTGTCTCTCTTTCTGATTCGACTTCGTTATATTGTGATAATCAAAGTGCTGTCCAGATTGCCCATAATTCAGTTTTCCATGAGTGAACCAAGCATGTTGAAATAGATTGTTACTTTGTCAGACAACATCTTCAGGCTGGCACTATTACTCTTCTTTTTGTTCTTTTCTCTCTTCAGTTGGCCGATTTTTTTACGAAAACTCACATTGTTGCTTGTTTTCGTTTTCTTATTGGCAAACTTTTGATGCTTTTTGCACTCACATCCTTAGTTTGAGGGGGGTATGAGTTATTGTAGTTTATATTTATAGTGATTCTGGTTTAGACTCGACCCATTTGGTATTCTGGACTCGGGTTTCATGGTTTTGTATTGTTATTCTTGTCTTATTCTTTTTCCCCTCATCGAGTTTGGCTTTTAGGTTGTTTTGGTGGCTTTTGGGTTGTTTGGGTTGCTTTTGGAACAAGTTGGTATCTTGGTTTTCAAACTCTTGTTGCCCAGAATTTTACTCCTCCGCTCGAGCGGTACTTATTGCGCTTGAGCGGGTTTTGTGAACTATCAGTACTTTTGTAGGTCTGCAAAACTACTGGGAGGGTGTATTATATACTTGAGCGGTATTTCTTGTGTTCGAGTAGTCTCAGCTCAAACGGCCCTTCTTGCGCTCGAGCTGTTGGTCTGTTGTCTGCAAAACTATTGGAAGTGTATAATCTGCGCTCGAGTGTCACTTATTGCGCTCAAGCAGAACAACTTATTGTGTTTGGCGCTTGAGCATCACTTCTTGCGCTCGAGCAGACTATGCGTATATCAGTTCCTAAAAGTCACTTTTTACATCAATTTTTCATCTCTCTCTAAAACTTTCCAAACCCTAGATGTAGAGTCTCTCTTCCTAAAACTATCTCTATCTCTTTACTTTTTACCTAGATTTAATGGTTTCTCTACCCGTGTGCCTTTGTTAAAAAAGTAGAGTATCTCAAGGACTACCCTAAAATGTCTCAAACATTTGTTTTGTACAAATAGATGGAATTGGTTTTGAAAATGTGAAATTGGATAGATGTTTATATAAATGGTGGAGTTGGATATGTATTATCTCTTACCTATAGAAATTTGGATAGTTTATCTATCTTGGAGATTGTATATCTGTTTAGAAATATATGTTTTGGGCTATCGGTGGAGGATAGCTATGATTGTTGTAGAATTTGTATGAGGACTAGGCGAATTGAAACTAATCTCTCATCTGTTATCATTGAATATGACTATGTCTTTAGTACGTTGTAAATGTATGATATTTAGGAGAAAAAAGGGGATGCACTCCATGTTTGGGAGAAAAAAGGGGATGTACTCCATTAAATTAAGTTGGCCTGTGTGTCCAGTGTGAAAGTCTCGAAAACCGTACGTGTACATGGGTGCCGATTACTGGGGACGAAATATTCGTAAAATGGTAACTAGAAGCGATTGTATGATGGTTGTAATAATTAGAGACCTATTGAGTTGTATACTAAGCTTGGTTGTCCGAATGAAATGGAATTGAATTCATGAATTGAAATATACAATTGGTACTGCATGGTTTACAAAAGAATTATGAATCGGTTTATCAATGGCATTGTATATGCATATTGCCTTTATATCTCTGTTATGTTTCATATGTTGTATTAGATTATTTCTACTGGGTTTTGACTCACCCTATATAGGAGAACCATTTTCAGGCATTGGTGATATGTCTCCGCCAAGGGCTTAGCTTGGGAGGACCGTGGAGCTAAAGACTCATTTTGTTTATTTTTCTTTTCATTCATTTTGCACAAGCCTCGGGCTTTATCTGTATTGAGCTTAAGACTCATTTTTGTTATACCCAAGCAGTGACTTGGAAAAATGTAAGCCATCAAGGCATATGACTATTTGTGCAGCTTTCATTTCTTATTACCATCACGTAAATGTATATTAAACTTTGATTAATGAAAATATGTCGTTCAATTATACTTCCTCTTATGAGATGGATTTGTCGTATTTATTCTGGGCCATTACAACTTGGTATCAGAGCATACCAGGTTTGAATACTTTGGGTATATGGGAAGTGGTTATTAGCATAATGGGTTTGTCTTGCTTGATAAAGACATTAGTATGTATGGTATGCTATGTGATAACGTCTTATGTGATTATATGAGTATGGGATTTAGTTCCTAAGATATTGATTGGGTCTACGAGTTTCTAGAAGTCTTGTTAGAAGAGGACTTGATCACTGTTATTTCTAATTGGAACTCTGGCAACGCCACGGGACGATCATTATCTAGAAAGGAAATTCGCATGTGCCTATGTGACTACGTGCTTGCATGGAGCGAATTACTGTTGTCCATCACATTAGGATGCGGGTGAGTTAGTTTCGGCACATTTGTAAATATGCTAATCTCTTTCGTTACCTTTATTAGGATTTCAGGATGAGGTCGTAGTGGTAGGCGTGGTAGGCCTAGACGGTAAGAGATGCTAATACCGGATGATATTCCGACACATGAGAAGGGAGTCGATCAGGCCAATGTGATCGAACCAGTTGGTCAGCACGCCATGGGCACCTTAGCCCGCGAAATGGCCAGAGCATTGCGGGAATCCATGGGCGTTCTCAGGACTGAGAATCAAGTCCAGGCCCAAGTAACTGAGGTAGGGCCGTCATTCTTGAAACTAGAGTTTTTTTGGTCAAATCTAGACGAGTTTTTGGGTGATCCCAAGGAGCTATTGAAGGCAGATGAGTGGCTAGAACAGATAGTGAAGACATTTGAGATGCTCGGCATCGAAGATGGAGGTTTGAGGGTGACCTTGGCATCTTTCCAACTGATGGGAGATACAGGTCAATGGCGCGAGGGCTCCTTGAGCGGGTTTTGTGAACTATCAGTACTTTTGTAGGTTTGTAAAACTACTAGGAGGGTGTATTATATACTTGAGCGGTATTTTCTGTGTTCGAGTAGTCTCAGCTCAAGCGGCCCTTCTTGCGCTCGAGCCGTTGGTCTGCTGTCTACAAAACTATTGGAAGTGTGTAATCTGCGCTCGAGTGTCACTTATTGCGCTCAAGCAGAACAACTTATTGTGTTTGATGCTCGAGCATCACTTCTTGCGCTCGAGCGGACTATGCGTATATTAGTTCCTAAAAGTCACTTTTTACATCAATTTTTCATCTCTCTCTAAAACTTTCCAAACCCTAGATGTAGAGTCTCTCTTCCTAAAACTATCTCTATCTCTTTACTTTTTACCTAGATTTAATGGTTTCTCTACCCGTGTGCCTTTGTTAAAAAAGTAGAGTATCTCAAGGACTACCCTAAAATGTCTCAAACATTTGTTTTGTACAAATAGATGGAATTGGTTTTGAAAATGTGAAATTGGATAGATGTTTATATAAATGGTGGAGTTGGATATGTATTATCTCTTACCTATAGAAATTTGGATAGTTTATCTATCTTGGAGATTGTATATCTGTTTAGTTTGTTTGTACAAAGCTCGTTTGGTTGTCCAAGGCTTTTCTCAAGAGTATGGGATTGATTATGATAAGACTTTTGCCCCCGTTGCCAAGATGAGTACTATTCGCACTCTTATCTCTGTTAATGCTGCCCATCACTGGCGTTTGTTTCGACTAGATGTCAAAAATGCTTTTCTGAATGGGCATCTTGCTGAAGAAGTGTATATGCGCCCTCCACTGGGTCTCTCTCACCCTACTAGTGTTGTTTGTCGTCTTCACCGTGCTCTATATGGTCTTAAGCAGTCTCCTCGTGCTTGGTATGAGTGATTTCAGTCTGTTGCCCTTTAGCTTGGTTTTCACCCTAGTCATCATGATTGCGCTCTCTTTGTTCGGCGCATTTCTGTTGGGCTTGTTCTCCTTCTCTTATATGTGGATGATATGATCATCACTGGCTCTGATTACAATACTATTGAGGAGGTTAAGCATCAGTTGTTTCAGGAGTTCGAGATGAAGGATTTGGGAT